CAATTGTCTGTGGCATGGAAGTCCGTTATCTGCTGCGTGGACTCGTTGCAACGCGCGACTGCAGGAACGTCGCTGCAGCACAGGAACGTGACTGGAAGACTGCAGGACTTAGCAGAGATTCTTTAGCACGCGAGAGAGTGGGAATGGTGCCCTGGAAAATGATGTGGACTACACTAAAGACGGGTCTGTGGTCAAGAAACCGTGCATGGGTCCCACGTCGCTGTTTAAGAAAATTTTTAGAATCACCTCGCTTGACTGATCTGGGCCAGCCCTGTGTGCACTGAGTACAGCATCCGTGCAAGTCAATCAAAAGTGTTTTTTTTGCTTGCTTCAAAACAGTTTGATTCGAATTCTTGTTCTTTGTATTCATTTTTGACATGTTCTTAGAGTTCTTTGGAGTTTGGCAAGTGTTTCTTGGAAAGTAGTTGAGTTGGGCCATTCCAGTGTGTCATGTTGTCTGTTTAGCTTTATTGAGAGTGTAGCATGCAGGTGGCAAGTAGATGCTTGTCATGAAGGAGTGGCGTGTGGAGTGGCTGCTTGTATCTCTCCACTGAAGCGTCAGTGGCAGCACTTTCCACTCAAGATGCTGCGTCCCCCCAGTGTGACTTGTTCTATGGTTCGCACGTTGGACAACAACGACAAATCCACTTATCATCTAACTTTTTTTGAATTGTGCTCAGTGCTGCCTCGAGAGCTGACATGAGGCCGTGAGTGTTTGCAGTTCTGCTTCCAATCTGGATCCGTTGCTTTGACGGCCACACAGTTTTTGTACTGCTTGGTTTGTAAGCGATTTTTGTTTGTTGCTTAGCTCCTTGTTGAAAACTTACGTTCTTTTTTGCTCAATGTTCGGCGCTTCGGTGCCAGCGAACACTGACACTGTGCGTTAAGCAATCAGGGTTTTGCATCAGATTGCAGCAGATGTTTTGGGATGCGACTTGAGTGCACAGAGGAGGATGATACTTCGCGGTTTGAGCAGTTCTGGCTCTGCAATGCTCCCAGATTTTGCATGGATGCTGGTGCACAAGTTCGTTTAGATCATTAGTAACAGTAGTTAATCCATCGACGGCGGGTAATCAACTTCACATGATATATTTTGTTGGAAAAATCTTGATGAACCCACATTGCTTTCTGTGAGTTGCACAGATGCTAACTGAAGCGATGAATGTTTGTTTTCCAAGGCATATTATGGGATATCGTGCAAGATTGGTGCTCAGAAAGGCGTGTTTCCCGCTTGACTTGCCAACGGGGCTATGAGCAAAGTTTTTCAGTCAGTGACAGGATGATTGTGGCGAGTAAAGAAGGTCTCTCGAGACAGCAAGCAGTAACAAGCATGCTATTTTTGAAAAAGACTTCGCGTGTCTTGCCAGAGCCTGCGTTGGACTGATCATCATGGCCGTGTACGCTGCTTTTGTTTATGCTTTGATGCCTGCTGCTCCCGAAGTATTTGTGCTGTATCGGTGGAATGTTGTTTTTTGCAGTGTGTGTTTTTTTGGTTTTTCTGCTTTGCAATTGAAGTTCCGGCAAACCAGCAAATGACTGAACGGCCCGTCCGAGCCCAAAGAACAAACAAAACATCTCCTCCCGCAGCAACATCCAAAAACCAACACTTACCCCACAGCAACAGCGAGAATGAAAGCACCACCCCGTGCAGCAACAGCAAAAACAGCAACGCCCCCGCGCAGCAAGGGACCAACAGCAACAACAACACGCTTACCGTTGTATCCGATTGAAATCTGATTGACTTTTCTTCCGACGTGCTCTCAGCTCCACTGGTCTCATGTTTGATGTTGGCTGCGAACTTCCGGTTCGAAGGGGTGTTGGTAAGCTGGTCTGCCGACCCCCTGGCTCTCTAGCAGAGCCACAGACGCGGTGCAGGTGGCCTCGAGCTGTGGTGTTCAAAACGACATCAGCAATTGCATTGCTCCGTACACAGGCGGGACAATGCTGCCCAGCATGGAAAGATCGGTGAACGTGATTCTGTTGGCCGCGGCCTGAGCACCTGCAGGTACATCGTGGCACATAGGCCCATAGGCTGCATAGGTTCTTGTCCATCATGCAGTGGCCAAAATTCTAGTCCGACATTCGAGGCCCTCGGCTTGACTGCCATGTGTCTTGTGACTGCCCGTGCTCGGCTCAGCCTTCCATATGACTCAGCCGAAACACTGTGCTTTACGATGCTATGGGCTCGGAATGTAATATCAAGTTTCGTAGCTACACCACCGCGATTCCCTGAAGTCCCAGGTCATGCGACCGCCTTTGTGGTAACACCGGGCAGTCAGCGGCCGTCCCAGCTGCAGCGACTTGGAAATGCGGCGTCGCCCGTGGTCAGAATCCAAGCTTCTCCAATGATTGCATCTCTTTCGTGTGTTTCGTGCCATATCTTGTCTGTCAATGCAGCCACAGGTTCCTTATGCACCAGAGGAAGCAACTGGTGTCAGGTCCTGAGTAATAAGAGGAAAGGCTAATCTGATCTGTGTGATGCTTGCAGGCACGGGCCCGTTTTTTGCAACCTTTGGCCAACATTTGAGTGCGTTCTGCTGTTTCGCTTCAAGTGCGGAAACCAGTGCTCGGCAACTGGCCGAGAGCCGTGAGAGCCGCCAACTGAGCCCACTACGTGCAGAGCTCAGAAGGGCCTGAGCCACACTCTGCTTTGCTCTGACATTGACAGAAGTTGCTTCAATGTAGCAGCTTCAGGATGTATCGCATGCTGCTGCTGTTGGGTGCTGCGCCTGCCGGTGGAAAGGCACCAGTCGAGGTTCCTGCATCTTGACACTTGGTCACATGATGCCGACAGCCTCTCATTCCGTGCAGGAGGGCACGCCTGCGGGGTGTACGATCACAGCGAAACTCTGTGGTGTGCTGAGTGCTGGCCTGGATGGGAAATTTGGATTCCTGTGGTTCTGCCCAGGTCGCAATTTCCCGGAGTACCAGCAAAGGCAATTCCGGGATGACCTTGGGGAGTCTCATGCGCCTGGCCCAAATTTCAGCATGTGGCTTTGTACTTGCAATTGTAGGTTTTTTTGGGCTCTCAGATGCGTTGCACAGGTCGGTGCTGGTAGCAACGATGCTGCGTGTTTGAAAAGAGCAGAGGACGATGTGACATCGCCGAAGGGCCACTGGAGTGACATTTGTTTCACAAGCCCGTGAAAAGAATCGTGCATGTTGCAAACTCGAATCAGTTGATAAGACCTTGTAGGGTGAAAATCCTCTGTCAAAAGGTCGAATTTCTGACAGGACTTCCACCATTGGTGTGGCAACGGTGCCTCGGATGATGCGCAAGTTGCGGCAACTTACGGCAGTGACCACCTCTCTCAGGCGGCTGGGCGTTCAGGCTTCGTCTGGAACCGAGGGTGGGAGCTAGCAACTTCCAGGTCTATCATCCTGGCGCTTGTCATCCGGGATGGTCGCAGTGGGATGCCTTTTGCAGCTTGTCTTGGCTGTCCTCGCTGCCTAATGCCTGCCTAGCTGGTAAGCAAGGGTAGCTTTTACAACAGTTTGGCAGCTCAGAACCCTTGCGGTTCTCCCAGATTCAGAAAAGATCCTTCGATGTGGGTCTGAGACGACTGGCATTGCTTGAAGTCATGTAGTTGGCGACTCTCAGGCTACAAGCACTTCTGGGAGAAGAAAACCTGGTTCGAGGCATGTGCGGCGTCAGCAAGATCCGGCAGGATGACATCTGGATGCGTGCACACTTGACATCATCAGGCCGAAGCCGCATGCCGACAGTTCGGAGAAGGCTCCCACTTGGCCTCCATTCACTCTCGGGCTCCCTGGCTCAAGGGCAGGGTACCGGTGCAGTGATTCATGATGACAAGCTGCGGCTTCTGTGTCCGTGATGCAGAGGAGGCTTCTTTGGTGTTCGTCGTGTTTCTGCATCTAAGGCTGAGAACCGATTTATCTACACGCTGCATGAGTCCTAGTTTTGATTGCCTGTCTAGAACACTGTAACCTCTGAGGGAACGACGTTCCTTCTTCCTTTCGCAAGGACAAACGGGCTCAGTACCTGGATCGGCTACACCGACCTGGACCAAGACACACACTTTCAGTGGAGTGACAGCACTCAGGACTGAATCAAGACACCAGGAGATGAATTCCGACTGAGTCGAAGCTGTCCGCAAGGACGATTTCTCGAATTTTGCAAAGAACTGTACCGGTCGCCTCTTAGCTGGGTTTTGTCTGCACCACGCTTGCGACTTGACCTTACAAATACATGGTTTTTCTTCGTGTCCACATTGTCCAAGGTGAGCACGAGCCGGACTGTAAGCCAGAAGAGAGACAACAGCAGTGGTACGACTGGGAGGGGAATGACAGAGGCACTTTCGTGTGCAAGCGGACCTCTGGCTAATTTTGTTAAGTTTTTGGAGATAGGGTTTTGCACGCATTTTTGGCTTTGAATGGGCCGTGATGTGAAGTCATGCATCTTTATGAGCTTCGGGCTGTCCTGATCACTTCTTGCAGACCAGGAATGCCTTGCTTCCGATGGCACTGCTGCGCAACGTGTCGGCGAGGACGCTGCCATGTTAGAGCAGTCCAACAACTCTCAATGGCAGATCGATCTCACAGAGCTTCCAGTGGTGCGCCAGAGAGGACGCTGATTTCGCGAAGCTGGGGAGAGCTACTTCCGGCCCTGGCAGCGGGTGCTGGACCAAGGACTTGCTGGGCAACAGAACCGACCATGGCTGGAGTTTGCCGTTCAGTTGCTTGTTTCAACGTGCAGGATCGGCCAGAACGACACTCTGCCGACCGTCAAGGCTCCGTTCGGTGTCTTGTTGTGCTCGCGGTGCATTGTACTGGTCTCTGTCGAGCGTATCAGGTGGACGAAATCACCAAGCCGCCACTCCAAGAGCCCGCAGTGCCTTAGTTGCAGTAGCCCTCGTACCCATTTGAGCACTCCGCAGCCCTGGCACCCTAGGCTTCAAAGGCTTCTCCCGAGCCCCGCTTGGCGTTGCCAAAGGTGCGTCTGGGATTTCTCAAAGTCCTGCAAGAAGCTTGGATCATCTTTCTCATTCTGCATGAGCCTATCGGCCGCCAAGAATTTCTGCCCCGGTACAGGGAACTTGGTTCTGAGCAGAGCCGTTGGAAGTCGACAGTAGGGTTTAGTCTGCAGAAGATTGCAGTGAAGACTCGCCCCGCAGGCCGGTTGTGTACATAGCTTGCACGGTAGAAAGGTCTTCCCAAACTTCGAACGAACCATACCTCTGGCATGGATTATCAGAGCTACATCACGACTGGCATGTGCCAGAAGATCTGGAAGACTTCCCAAAGGTTGGCTCCTCCCCTGTTTCACCACCGACATCCACGTGGCACTTATTGCGTAAATCAGATACCGCTTCCGCCCCTTTGATCGTCCTTTGAAGCGTGATCCAAGCGTTGGCCCCAATAAACGAGCACTGACATTCAAGGGCTCGCCACCTACGCGGGTTGAGAGCGATTCAAACACCGCGTTTCAAGTTCCGGCGATTCAACATCGTGTCAGGGTAGGATTTAGCATTCGAGGATGTTGGGAGTTGGGGACTAGAGTCTGGGGTTTAGGGACTGGTTTATTTTATAGGGTTCAGGCTTTTCAGATTCAGGCATTAGGGCTTTCGCGTGTCGGGGGCTGGCTGCTTGGCCGTTCGATATCTCAATAGTAGGTCTTGCTCGTTTAACACAGTTGTCCCAATTTAAAGGCAGCCCGTTGACGCTCCTGGTTCCCCTTTAGGCGCCTTTAGGGCTGTCTTGGGGCTGTACGCTGGTTGAATCATCAGCCTTTAGTGAGCTCAAGTCTGCAACGATGTTGCTGCTCAGTTGCAAGGGCTTTCATGGTAGAAATACATGACCTCACAGGCTTCTGTTTGTCTTTCGGCATTAAGGCACTTTATTTTCAGGCATCTTAGTCTTGAGTCCGAACTATTCCCGGACCTGCTGCTAAGCCGGACCGCAGGCGGATGCGCGTGAATCCCTCGTTCGCGCATCGTGAAGCGCGCGAGGCCGCACGTTCGGTGCCCCAACCCCTGGTGCTCGAATCTGTGGCTGTGCGAGTCGATCGAGTCAATTCGCGATTCGTTCTGCACGCGAATTCATCCGTCTCCGCAGTGCGCGAATCCTGGCGCGAATCCTTGTTTCAGTCCATGCTTCCGGTCTCCAGTGCGTGAAGGGTTTCTTTACCCCTCTTCAATGCTTAATGGTTGAAGGATGTTGTGTGGTGGTTCCCCAGGTTGACATCCGAGAATTTTTGAGTTGGAGAGCCCTCAAGCACTGACCTTCCTCTCCTCTACCCATTCTCTTCGCAGCCACCGAGTTTTCGGCGGGCCACGGCCTTGGTGCGCTGGCCGCCGCCTCTGCCCTGGCTGCGCTGGCTGCACGCCGCCGGGGCGCAGGCCTCGGCCGACTCGGCTCAGCCGGGAGCCGACTGCTGCCGCCTTTGTGTCACGGCTGAGGTCGAAATGATGCCACTCCGCGAGCCTGCTAGTCGCAATTGACTGCTCCAAGCCTTCCTGCTCCGTCGACATGTTCATGACGTTGGTTGCATCTTGCCAGGTTGTGATGCAGGTCAGGAAGCCCACACGCTACGCCAAGCCCGGCTGCCAAGCATAAGCATGCAACCGCTCGCGATCTTTTCGAGCTGAGAGCATGGCAGGCCGGCGGCGAAAGGCATGAAGCCGATGATCCATCGGAAAGAGACCAGGCAATCTATGGATGGGTAGGAGGTGAGGAGAAGGTTAGAAAGTTGGGCTCTGTGCTTGATGCACTTCTGTAAGGACACCGGATGCAGTCAGAACAATGCTGATATTCACAGGGCTTGATGCTGGTTTGACTGCTGGATATACAGCTTTCAGTGTGATTTCCGTGTTCCGGAAGGGACGTCTTCAAAGATGGCTTCGAAGGCACGCATTTGGCTGCGCATGTCCACCAGGACGCAGCATGTTCTGCGTTTGATGTAGTGATTGGGTCTCTGATTCTGATCTGGGCAGTGCTCAGCTGTTATTGCCAGCTACCGATTGCCTTGACAAGGTGTTTGTAGCCTTGGACAGGTTGGGTTGCAAACAAGGACAAGAACATTGACTTCATGGAGAAGGCTGTGCTGCGTTTTGTGGCTGCTGCAAGCTTGCCTCTGCCCCTCCGTCGTGTGCAGGTTGTCCGTCAGCAATTGCACGGCCGATTTCAGTTCCAGTTCGCGTGACTTGGCACAGCAACCTTCTCTTAATCGCGAAGCGAGAACTCTTTGCTTGTGAGTTCCCAGAAAATGTCTGCGTCGCATGTGGCAGCCAGGTCCCAACATTTCTTCGATACTACGCCCATGTCATCCGGTATGTCCCGGAACAAGAGAGCAGGTGGCTCAGGTTGTCGCAAGCTGTGTCGAAACACAGCTACCTCTCCTGGGTCCTAGGATTTCGGTATCTACATGAACCACGACTACGATGACATGTTCTACGTGCGGAAGTGACTCTGGCTTGTTTGTTTGAGGAAGGGCTTCGTGCAATTGAACCCTTGCAGACACATTCGAATAACTTTAGGCATGTGATGCAAGTGTTCCTCCGGACATGTGTAAATGGTTGTTGGGTGGCTTGTGCAGTGAGAACTCCTTTGGTTGAAAAGTCGCGTAAGTTATCTCCGTGGAGCTTGCAGGAGTTGTCGTCTACCATTCACTTAGGTAGTAGAGATCCAGGTCAAACAAGCGTGTAGGACCTTATTCATGCAAATGATTGATTCAGAGCCAACAAGGAAGGAGAGTTTTCATTGCAAGGTGGCAGCAATATTGTGACAGGTCAGGCCCTCCCCCCCTCCCCCCTTTGGTCTACCCCCTTTCCCCCACCTTAAGGTCCATCTGTTTACGCAACATGGCAACTTGCATTTCGTCTTTGCATGGCCGAGGACGTCTGCGCAGGTTTCAAGTCAGCTCCATTGACTCTGCTTCTGTTGTTTTCTCTACTTGTAGCTTTCGCGGCCTCTTCTCCAGTTTGTGCCAGAGTGCAGGTTCTTGGAGCCGGCCAAATTCAAGAAGCTGGCGCTGGGAAACTGGGAGATGACAGAAGCCCAGAAGAACTCTCCGCTCTGGCTGTGGTGCAGTGATGTTACAGAGTATCGGTTTTCCTCCGCGAGCCACCCAGGCCGGAAAATGCCACAAAAGTCGCCACCATACAAGAGCTTGTAGCAGCAGGCGCGTGTGGGGACTTGCAGCTTTCGGGTACCGGAAGCAGGTTACACGAGATTCTGGAGTTGTGTGCTGCTTGGGAATGACCCGCTACTTGCAGCGATTGTGATGTTCGGAGGAGTCCAGTACGGCCACAAGTCGAACAAGTCACCTGCCCAGCGCCGCATGTTGTCGTGTCAGCTCCAGTTTTGCTGTACGATTGATTTGCTGAGCTTTGTATACAATTTTCCGAACCTTGGAATTTCAGTGCGTGTAGCTGGCTCCGATCGACTTCAGCCGAGGTGGAATCCGGCGATGCTGAAGTATCTCTATGCCGATAACGATGTCCAGCGCCAAGGTAAGGTCTAGTCTTGAGTTTCACAGGGATGTAGTCGAATTTGATGTTCGCCTCAGGAAATGCAGATAAAGTCATCGTTGTAATGGTGAAAAATGTGCACTGCAGTTGCCAGATGTTAGAATACGAAGCTCGATTGTTCTCCTTGCAGTGCCTCGGCTGGCTTGCGTTGTAACTTCTCCCGTGTGGCATCGCAGGTAGCTCAAACACCGCAGCCTGCAGTTGTGTGACCCTTGCAGCCTCCAGTTGCTGGATTCTTGCCAAGGGCACCCACATCTTCGATCTGGTGCAGACTGCAGCCAATCTTAACCGTGCCTGCCAGCGGCTTAATATTCTTTTGAGAGAGCAAATGTTCTGGAGTGTGCACATGCAACTAATTCCACGTGGGCTTAGCAGATTTGTGCATCGATAGACAGGCATACACGGCATATACACTATTGGTGTTGGTGCCTGCATCAGTCAGCACTTGACATAGGAAGCCGGTCAGATCCATTCCTCATGTGCGAACCCGAACACCTGATGCATCGAAGCGGCCAAAGCTCTGCTGCTTGAGGCTACTACTGCATGGAGGCTGCCGCCAAAGGCGCTTCCTTCATCCTCATCGGAACGAAGGCGTGCGAGCTGCCACAAGAGCTCAAAAAAAGTAAAGCCTGAGACGAGCCGACTTTGATGTTTCCACTCGTCGACTCGTCGCAGCGCTTGAGGAGCAGGCCCGTCCCATCGTGGCAAAGTACGGTGAGGAAGCTGGCATCCACTACACTGACATGAAGCTTCTTGGCAGTCACGATTGTAAGACCTTGGAAGTTTGCTTCTCATCCCGGGCTTGGTTCGTACATGTAAATCGTACATGTAAAGCTGGAATGTCATAGAGCGCAGAAGCAGCTAGGTAGGCATTGCAGTACCTGCTGGCAGTAGCTTGGGCTCGGGTGGTGGCCCTTGTGTTTGATGTTTTCCACGGCTTGATAACACTTATGAGTTCAGGGCATGTCGCAGCTGTGGGAGACAGCCCCGGACGTCTGAAGAATGTAGCCCGATGAGAGTTGTGAAACTAGTGCATAAGGTGCAACTGCTGACTGGTGTATCATCGTGGCAGGAAGGAACACAAGCTGTCACTTGTGTCACACATTTAACATTGCAATCTTTAAGTTTCGGTTTGAACTGCACAGGACGTCGGTGGAAACGCGAGGCAGATGTGAATATTTACAGTCCACGGCCGTCATAGAGTAGCCACCCGACACTGTCCTTCGAAAGGACTTTAACACCCTTGGACTAACCCAAGTGTCGTCGCGTCAAGCGTGGTGAGCTAGCACCTACAGCTGAAGATTGCTCCAGCGAGCTGAGACTCATGTAGCCAAACCCCAGATCCAGATTCACTGTCCTCGCCCGTCCACCCGTTGACCTTCAACCACAAAAGTGCTGCACCGTCAGGAGCCCTGAAAAACCGTTACTTGCCTCACATAAGCACAAATCCGGTTGGCTCTCGACATCCGCTCCGACGGCGCAGCTGGCTGTCTGCCGCAAACCTTGTAAGTCGAAAGACCACGCGAGGTTCGTGGGCGGCTTGCTGAGCAACTTCCCTACGGTTCGGAAGTCCGTCGAACTCATGCAGCAGCTTCGGGTCCAATCGGCATTCTGGCCCTGCGCCTTGAGCGGATGTAGCCCGCGCAGAGATGTTGCCAGGAAGAGAAGCAGCAGGGTGCTTGGAATGTCTTCAACGAGTTCCAGCGCTTCAAGAATACGTGGGCGACCGAGATGTGATCATAAAGCTAATGCCAAAGGTTCAATTTGATCAGCTCTGTCGCCTCGACCCTCTGCTGAGGTGTAAGCTGGAGCGCCTTACGAAGAAGTACCATGGTGTTGAGGAGATGACCGGCTACCCGGACATCTGCATCTTCGTGGATGAGGACTGTGCCACTCTGCTCCGCTCCGCTATGATTGGCTCTTATCGAATGTGTGGGTCCTTTCAGAAAGTATCCTGCACAGATCAAAGAGCGAAACCCCATCGCAGAGATGGTGCGCATCGGCGTGCCTTGCATTGGCCGCATCCTTGCCGGTGGACTCTTTTTCGGCCGAAGAGTTCTGTCTCGTTCAGCCGGCCGATCAGCTCAGGCATGGTCGATTCCAACAACGATCCGAAGTTTGTGGACATTGCCATCCCTTCGAACACTTCGAACACGAAGCCACACGCTAAGTACGTTTAAATTACGTACAACAGACGGCTCGCTCTCATTGAACGGCATCTGCCAGGTCCATTGACCTTATCATTGGCAAGATTTGCGATGCGATCAAGAAGGGCAAGGTCCGACATTCCGACTCGTGATGTGCTCTAAGCTTCACCATCTTCTGTCACACGCCTCGCAATGCCGGTCAGAAAGCTCATAACAGACATGATTGCAGAGTGACGGGCAGTTCATCATCTGTGCTTCGCATGGTGCGACGCCCTGTTCAGACGATGAATGCTATGACACAGCCTGGGGAACGCAACGAGGCCGGGGTTCGACAAAGCGCATAACCATGAGCAGGGGGCTTGCAAGGTAGCCTTGCCGGGCGCAGCCCACTTGTCTCCGTTCTGTTTTCTGCGAAACAGAAAGTGTCAGGAGCCCAAGGAGTGGGATCCCTGGATCCTTAGCAGAGCCCGGTGCTCAGGTTCTCTTTTCATCGATTGGATGTCTTTATCAATTTTATCACTGGTTCGGACACAGGACCGCATGCGTTGCCTTCGTCGCCGTTCAAAGCGCCAGGGCTGGATGAAGGCATCTGAAAACCAGCAGTGGGAACAGCAAGTCTAGTTCTAGGTTTACAGTGCTCCATGGTGTCTTCAGATTTTCAGTTGTCCGATCTGAAGACTCTCAGACACGATTTGTGTCTCGAAGATGTGAACGCAATTTGATTGCAAGGCGGTTTTGCGTTGGCAGGACGGTTCGGCTGATTCTTTGCATGTGATTGGGGAAGGTCTGGCAGGTGCACTAGAAACCACTCTAGATTCACTTGAACGTCATGGCATGGATCTTGGATTTGTCGCGGGACTTCTGGCTGGAGCTGTCAACCACGAGCCAACTGGTTGTTAGCTTGTGATAAAGTGCAAGAACAGACAGAAGACATCCACATGCCTCTTTTCAGACATGCAACATCAGCTTTCACATCCGCAACTTCTGATTCGGGCTCAGCACTGTTCGCCGTGCACTGTTACGAACATCAGTGAGTTTTCAGCCTGTACCTCGTCGAAGATTCAATTGCAGCCTAGCAGAGACAATTGAACGACGAGTTTGACGCGGACAGGAAGAATGGTATGGTGCTAGGGCCAGGATGAGTGGTACGGTATCAGGGCAGGTGGGCGTTGCGACATATGCTGCCTTTGATGTGATGGTATGTGGTAGGTATGGCGCAGCGTGGCAGTGGGTACTGTGGGCCGGGTGTAAAGGTCTGGGGAAATGTTAATACAATGTTGACCAAGGGAATGAGTGATGGTGAGATATGGTGAGCACGTCAAGTGACTTTGCATGCTACTCACGGGCTCCTTATGCGTGTGGAGAGAGCTCGACAAGCAAAGGTGTAATCATGTGGTGGTCATGTGTACTGATCGGTTGTACCAGACCTGTGCTGCCTGCCCGAAAGCAGTTTCGTACCCGTATGCAAACCCGACAAACTTGGTCGAGTTTCTACCTACCAAAGTGGGTTGTGCTTGCGCTACGGCTGGTTCGCGAGTATGATCGCAGGTGCTACTTTTCAACTGGCTGTGGTTTTGGGGTAGTTGAAGGGTTCATTTGTGTGAAGCCGACTCTGCAGGGCATGTACGGAAGCTACGAGAAGCCGTGCACTTTGCAAGACTGCCAGAGCACGTGGCACGGGCAACAACTTGCGTCTCTTCAGACTTGATAGCTGTGGGATGGGCATGCGTGCACGTGCTTGCACTTCGCTGGTAGTTTTCTGATGCTTGAGTGAATGCCTGCACTTAGTTGGAAGAAGTGCCACCCGTGGGGCGCAATTCCGACCGTCGCACCGCACTGCCCTGAGATTTCCACTGCTTGACGATTGCTGACACACTGCTTCCTGGAAATGTGTGCCGTCGCTTCGCAACCTACACTGGCAATGGCAGGTTCCATGACTTCAAGTGGAACGATATCGAGGCCACGAGTGCATGGAAGGGTCTTGCCAAACCGGAGCGGAAATGACGGGATGGGCATCCCAGCCGAGGATCGCCGCCCTGGCTGGGACCGTTTCTGAGCAGTTCTCTGGCCTCTGCTTCTCTCTGGTTCGGACGTGGCGTGTTTGGTTTCGCAGACGTTTGTCGTTGTTGCTATGGCATGTTGGGAGGGTAAAGGGATGTAAAAAATTGGATACTTAGCAGTACAAGCTTCGCTAGGACTTCAGCTGCGCAATTTTCTAGGGCAGGGAGAGCGACGTGCTGCAGCATGAAGTCCAGCAGCACCAAAACAACGATTCGCAAGTGCAGCTGCATGGTGGCCTTTCCTTTGAAGTTGGTTTTCTTGCTCCCACGCTCAAGTTCATAGCAGCCGTAGCAACTTGCCGTCGAAATTGGGATTTAGGGGCTTCCGGGTATACAGGACCATGCATGCGTGTTTTGCTTTCGGTGCAAGACTGCAACTGCGTCTGCGGCAGCTGGCAGCACAGTAGGAGATGTCAAACGCTGCACGCAGTTTCAATGTCCTGCTTGGGAAATGGTCTGACAGCTGATGAACTGGACTCAGCAGACACACGGATTAGTGTCTCTAGGGTCAACCCACCCGAGCTGCCGCCTCTTTGGCATTAACGAAGATCATCGTCCGTCATGAGCTTCCGAGTGCTGCTCTTCGGGCCTGCGCGCGAGGTGGGGTTCAGTCTTTGCGAATTTCGCGGTCGATTCTGTTGTGTCCATGTCGATGCCAGATGCATGTTCCGAAGGAGCTCGCTTTGTCAGAAACGAAAGTCGAGGCCGGTCGGTAAGTAGTAGCCGTTGAGAGAGTTGCTGCTGCGTGCTGAGTCTGGAGACTCGAGTAGACCTCTGCCGTTCTTTTTGACGAGAAACGGCAACTAGGAAGCGCTTCTTAACAGGGGCGTGCAAACTCATTCAAGAGATTTCTCGGTCCAAAGCAGGGGGTTGGACGGTCCACCATCCATGTACAGAGACACTGGACCCCCCACTTTAAACGACGAGACCTTCTAGCGGTCTTGGAAGGATTGATGTACCGTCTGTTCTCGGTGGCATGCCTGCAAATTGGTCCCACGCAGCTTATGCTCCAGCAAGGGAGCTAACTTTGGGGAAATGCCGGGGCGGAGGCATTCTGGGCAGAGTGGGCTGATGTATCTCCTCTCTTCGACCAAGCCTTTACTCGACAAGATGGAAGAGTAACAAGCACAGTGCCATACAAATGCACAGTCTGTGCCAAGCTGACCCTGGCATACGTGTTTGGATCACCACGAGGCAGGAAGACAGGTTCATGGCTCCAGCAAACGTTGTTGCATTCCTTTCGACGTCCCGTGTGTCAGAAGTCGGCAGGTTCAGCTGCCCGAAGGTGAAACTGCGAAGGTTTGCCATGTCCGTGAGGCAGGAGTGCAGCACGGTGCGCCGCAACTGAAGGCTTGTACGAGACGTTTTGATTTGTTCCTCTGCTACTTAGGCAAGAGGCGTTCAAACGTTTTCGGACAAACCCAAACATCTCTAGGCCTTGCATGGCTGCCTTGCTCGTTTTCCAGGCGCTGCTAGCCCAGCATCCTTCGCTGAAGGCGATGCTGGCCATGAGCAAGTTCACGGTCAACCAGGCTGGAAGAGCACACACCGCCAGTTCGGATGTCTCCGTGGCTTGGGGATGCAGAAAATCTGGCATCTCAGTCTGGAAAGCAGGGGCCGAGCCTCAGTCCGAAAATCTGAGAATTTGCAGTGTTTCGCGCAGGAAATGGTGGCATGCGAGTCCGACCGAGCTTCCGCCTCGATGCAATCTTCCGGCATCTCTGCCCGTCTCCCCTTGCTCGGCCCTTCCCATCCGTCTCTTTCTCCGTCGCGTGTGGTCATCTACGGGTTCCCACTGCGAGTTTCTATGCACCAGCCCAGGCTGTTCATGCTGGAGATGAAGTCGCGATGATTCCGCCCATTAGTGGTGGCTAAACAGTGGCCACTGATAGCTTGTGTCTCTCTGTGTGTGTGTGTGCGTGCGAGGCTCAGCACGCGGCATGAGGTCGACATGAAAAAGGAACATACCATGCGGAAGGGAGAAGCCGGTTCTGGGGCGCAGCATGTTCACTGCTTGCTGGCTCAAGGAGATTTTCTCAGTTGAGCGATCCATTCCGCCCGACAGCAGATCCTAGCTTCCCACAAGCTTCGCCCTTTGACAGGTCTTAAGCCCGAAAAGGCCGCACGATCAACAACGCTTCCCTTTCTATGTGTACATGGTTCAGTGTTGAGAAGCAAGGCACAGCTGTCGGGCAGTTTGTGCTACGACTTCTTTTGGATTGCACATCTGCAAAGGGAACAGCAAACACATCGCAGAAACACACGGCGTGTTATGCAGCCTCCACCATATGGAGTGCCGCCTCCGCCGCCCGGCCATTATGCTCCGCTAGGGCATGCTTACGGAGACTTGCTTGCAGTCATTGCTGCGGTTGACAGCATGTTATACCACTGTGAACACCTCAGGGTACGATCCTTACGCGCGGCCCGAGCTTCACGGCAGCCAGCCTGCCGGCTACTATGCCGGAGCAGGCCTGACGTGATCCATTGCACAAAGGCTCTTGAAACAGTATGGCAGTTGGTGCTGGAAGGTTATGGCCAGCATGATTATTACCGTCAGCAGAGTGCATACGGCCACGAACGCCACGTAGAGTACGGTAGTGGCTTCAATGACGGAGAAAGCCGACCAAGAGATCATGGAGCCTCGGATTCAAGTACCACGCGATATTCTGCGGTGGATAGTCTTGCATCACTCTGCACTGGATGCTCGTAGTCTTGGTTATACTTGAATTTAGATTGGCTCCGGTCAAGGCAGCAATGCTGATCGAGGTGACCGGTTTGAAGGCCACTCCGAGAGGGACTACCCTAATCACCAGGGCGACTGGGAAGGGAGGGGCGATCACCGGCACGACCGGCATGAACGTGGCGAACGTGACAGAGATCGTCGTGACAGGGACCGCCGTGATAGGGACGATCTCAACAATTCTGCTGGGGATCATGGTCCTGTTCTGAGCTTTGTATGAAGTGTGTCTTCTGTTTCCCGCGGCTTCATGGGGCCGCTGAGTCAGGTTTCGATCGGCGAGCTGGGCATGGTTCCGCTCGTGACGATGACAGGATGCTTGCGTCAATCGGGCAACCTTGGAGTGTTCTGGAAGAACTACATAGTACTGCAAATAAGCTGCCTTGTCTTTGACCCGACCGCGTCACAGGAGAGACTCGGATAACAGAAGAGGCCATGAAGGCCACGACCTCTCCTGTCTGTGCAAACCAGGGCTCGCGGCGCCTCTCTGCACTTACGTGAGGCCGCAGCGACCCGCGCCCTCCGAAAGGTGGTGGCAAGGGAGGCTTTTCACGACGATTGTCAGGCGCGAGATTCTACTTGAAGTTTTGAAGGCCGTGGCCGCGGTGGGCAGGGAAGCCGGGAGCTGGCGCGGTCGAGGAGCCAGAGTCGGAAGAACGTCCATTCCACTGTAGGTCTTTGATTCCTCTTCTTCTGGTTACAGCTTCGCGGTGGCGTTGTTGCAGATCCTGCCGTCTCCGTGCCTGTTCTCGGACTCTCTCTTGAAATCGGCAGGGCATGTTGTGGCTGGCTATCATGTACTTTGATTCGCTGCTCCGGTGTTTAGGATTGCCAGCACCGTCGAAAATCCGAAGTTGCGGAAGGGTTTACACAGTTGTGTGTTTGTACTGACCACGGAAATAATCCTGGAGTAAGTACTTTGACTTTTGCTTCTTGCGCCCTTTTGTTTCACGTCTTTCTAATCGAGATACACTTAGACATTAGGTTCATGCTGCTACTGTTATTGGCCTGTCTAGCTCTTTGCACTTATTACGCAATATCTCAATCTCCGGTCTGTGCAGTAGACGACCTTGCATTGCCTATCGTCCGAGCTGCTCGGTTGATGTGCTTGTCTTACAAGCCCTTGTCATTATCCGGGTGCTCTTTCTTCATGTGTCATGTACGAGGCTTGAAAACATCTTACAAGATCATCATTCTGCAACCCAAAAGATACAGCACTAGAGGAGGGCAAGCAAGGAGTGTAGGGAAGTTCCGGAATGCTATGACAGTTTAACTGCTATTGATCATGCAAAAGCAGACAGAACCAGTAAAGTAATATAGGTCACGATTGGAGCGAACGCTTTGGTTTATGCTTTCAGTTTAATGGAGAGCATCAAATGCGCAACCCTGCAAGCCCGAAAGCCGAACTCCATGTCGTTCACACAAAGGACCCAGTGGCTCGAACCTTCTAGGAACATCGATGGTGCTTTTGGTGGAGGAGCCGCAGTCGAAGGCGTTCGAGTTCGGGCTCCTCTTCTGGGTCTCCACAAGAGAAGAAGCGCATGCGTCCCACGGCTGTGGTTTGTGCCTTTTGTGCTCTGGGCCTGGGGCTCTGCCTGACCTTGTTGGAAACATTGGGCTCGTAGAAACGGTCGGAGGTTGTATGCTCGGAAGTAAGCGCTGCACCTGACCGCTCATGAATCGCCAGGTAAGGCCGCTGGCTTCGACAGTGTCACGAAGCCTCGCGAGACTGGAAAGGTCCCCACCGAGGTGACTTCGACGAAATCGACGAATGCAAACGCCGGTCTTTAAAGTATCGCTCGCATCATTTCGCTTTGCTTGCACAAGGCGGCTCCGCAGAGAGGTCTCGCTTTGGCGCCAGGCCGCAAGGCGAGAAGACGCTTTTTTGGTTTTCTGCCGTTTCCTTCCGGGTGCTTGTAGCTCAATCACGAAAGCTCTCCCCCAGAGAGCCTTTCGTTTCAATAGTCAGAACTGGTTCTGCCAGAAGGCCTAGGGGGTGTGGGGGGGGCCCCCTGAAGTGGCCCTATTTGAGTCCGGTTTTGGCTGCTGATCCCTTTGCTGGGGAGGGAATTTGGGGTGTGTCCACCTGCCTCCTTTTTCGGCTCTGGCGTGCCCGTTTTGAAGGGTCACTACAACGCGCCTTGATGGAGAAACGGGCCTTCGATGATGCTCATGATGTCTGAGGTGTCGGGGGTGGGGAAGGGGGGGAAGGGCAGCGTCCATGCTGCTGTCGCATGTTTCAAACCTCAAGCCGGCAACCTCTTCGGCTTTTTTTGGCTCCAGCGGGTGGGCTCACCTCGCCGCATTTGACTGGCAGGCAAAAAGAAATTTTCCAAAATGAACTGCTGGTGTTCCAAACTCCATTGGCTAGATCCAGCCGTTTCGGTGGTCAGGGTTTTGCGCCTTCAACTTCACAAAACCATCACGCCTTCTTCTTGGGCTTGGGTCATGAGCCTTCACGGTCCGGTGAGCTGTAACTGTAAGTGACCCAAGTAATTTAGGCTGTGGGGTATGGGATGCGGTGTCTTGGGTTGCAGTGTCCGTGTGCGTGGCGGGTGCAACGCACAACTTACTTAAAAAGTATCCTTTAACCTTAAGCTTAGGGAAGCCAAGGTTTCGATGGTTAAGGATTCGGCGTTCCCAAAGACCCTTACAAACCTATTATGGGGTTTCGGGTTTAGGCTACTATAAGGGTATTATAGGATTTAGGGTTTAAGCTACTGCACAGGTACTATATGGTTTAGGGTTAAATGCGTGCAGCAGGCTTGCAGGAATGACCATGACCATGACAGTACATACATGCATGCGTGCTTGCATACGTACATGATGCATATGTACACACACGTACAGACATTTACATGCTGCATACGTATATGGGCACATAGAGGCAGGGCACATAGAGGCAGACATGCATACATGCATACATGCATGCATGCACGCATGCATACACCTATACATACACACATATGACAGTTTCAGAAACGAGGACGATGGGGACGGTCTCCTTTTTTCAAACCCACGATGATTGCAAAACTACTCATCACGAGAAGTCGGAGTCCACTCATGTTTCAGTTCTTCTGTTCTCAACGTGAATATACAGTATGCAATTATTCGTCGTGTGGAAATGTCAAAGACTTGATCCGATGCAATGTTTGAAAGAATCGCTCCAATTTTTCTATTTCAACTAAACTCCCTCGCTCACTCACTCACAAACTCGCAGTCAAAATAATAAAGGCTTTGTCAGTCACTCACAGTCTCTGTCCCTGTCCCTCTCACTGTCTCAGCAAGTAAAGCCTGTGGACTCGGAGAGCAGTGTTTGTTTATGTTGGGTTTAGATGGCAACAGGTCGGGCTTCAGATACAGCAAGTGATACAGAATTTTTGTTTCAGGCCGCGTGACGCGCTCGAAGCTTCAGCTCTCCTCCACGATAGCATCATCAACCGGCTCACCCTCATCACCCTCTTCTTCTCCGCCTTCCGCTGTAAAACCATGACAAAAAGGTGTTTATATAGACCCGAGAGTGTTGAATCCCAGCCACGGAAGACCCGAGAGTGTTGAATCCAGGACCCGAGAGTGTTGAATCCCAGCGACGGAAGGCCCGAGAGTGTTGAGTCCCAGTGACGGAAGACCCGAGAGTGTTGAATCTCGGCGACGGAAGAGCCGAGAGTGTTGAATCCCACCTAAGATTCAAGACACTCGAGTCCGGCCACGGAACCCCCGACAAGTGTTGAATCCCACCTGGGATTGATGAGGTCACGTTTCTCGAAGCTAATGCGACATGTTGCGCGGCTTGAAAGTGCATGCCTCAACTGAGCATCAACCTGTGAACTCATGCCATGCAGCTAGAGCTTTCGTCACCTCCCTCCGGGTCTCAAGTCTGTTCTCTATCCTCTGTTGCATGATCGTCAAGCCACGGTGTCACACTTGAGCTTCTGCAGCCTTCGTTCCATCGAAGGCAGACGTTTACGGCCTGAAGGGTGCTTCGCAGTACAACGGCAGCAGACCTACTCAGTGCTTTTTGCTTTCTGTGATTTCTCATTTGCAAATGCGGGACTGGGGGCCAGGTTCTGCTTTGCCTAGAGTTTTCCTGGCCGCCAACAGGCTGCGAAGGCATCGTCATCGAAGGGCCAAACGACAAAGGACGCTGGGAAGTGCAGGCTCCCCTTGCTGAAGTGAAGTGTTGGACGCCTGCGCACGCATACTGTGCAGGTGGACTACCAGTGCGAAACAAAAACGTGTGGGGCTTGGCAAACAATGAGCTGCCGCTGTGTCCTTAGTATAAAGATGCTTGGCCACTCGAATATTTTCCACTTCAGCTGCGGGCTCACGAACTTCGAGCTTTCGCCTGAGCGCGAGGCAAGCCAACCGTTTAGGCAAGAAGAGAGCACAGAAGCAGCTGAAGCTTCGAGGCTTGAGGGTTTCTGTCCAGCCATGTATTTGTACCGCCTGACTCTGGCAAACCCCGCATAACACCATGTTCCAACATCCCAACCTACACAAGTGGTTCGCCCGAATGGCGACGCCGACGCGGCGAGTCTTCGGTTCGTTCTACACCTCCAACGTGCTGGACTTGCTGAGGCCGTCGGACGATGTCCCAATCCATTCACATGGACCTTCGCGGCTCATGTCTGCCCAGGCAGCCACGGGGCCAATTCCAGCCCCCGACAAGGCCAAACAGCCTCGCTGAACTGTTGTTTTCGAGCTCTTCGTAGCGTCGCATTGCAGGCCCTTCCCACTGCCGTCTTCAGACCCGGGCAGCCTGGGCCTTGCGCCGAGCGGCCGGTCCTGAGGCGCTCTTCAAAAAGGGGCCAGCACAACTTTTTTGGCACACGGTTGTGGAGGCCCCAGTGGCCACTTCGGTGCAGAAGCACGCAAGCACTTCTGCCTCGAGGACGTTCTGCTTTCTTAGAAAACAGAGCATGGCATCAACTCGCCTGAAATCATGTGGTCTGTACTGGAACCGCGACTTGAGGATGGCTTCACGTTCCTGAACCATGGCGCCTTTGGCGCCACACTGAAAAGCAGTTTGGAAAGCAAGCGGCGGTGGGCCGAGTACATCGAGACACAGCCCGTCCGCTTTTTGGATCGAGCCTCGCTGACAACCTTCCGTGAGGCCTGTTTGGTCCGTAGCTGCCGAAGCCCAAGCATCCGACACGTGCAGACTCCTTGCCAAGGAGAGCTTTTTCCTTGGATGGTCAGCGTGACCCGCAGCTTGAGCCAGGCGCCTGAGTTCCGAAAGTTTCGCGACCGGACTGGAGTCTGGCCGAGCCACAGCCAGGTGCTCTCCGCACCTGCAGAAGACCTGCTGCCAGCACTTTGGCAACTGCAGTTTTGGGAGCAACGTGCGCGGAGCAAGTGGGTCGGTTGAGCCCGCCTTCACTGAACGTCGTAAACGAACTTACACCTGTCCGCCTTGTTGTAACCGATTGCACACTGACGAAGTAGCTGGCAGCAACAAGGCAGCCACGACGTCAGTTTAACCCAACCAGAGGAATCACGTGCCACGGAGAAAGCATGGACGGAACCGGTGAATTCATCTAGCCACGAGAATCAAGAAGCTTGAGCAGGCTCCGCGATAGGACGCAATTTCTCAGAGGAGCCTCCACTTGTACAATGTGTCCAAGCTTGGGTGAGCTCAGGTCCCCAGTGCCACGCTGGGAACGAACGCAGTCCTCAGATCCTGGCAGCGGAAGAGAAAGCCCGATGATTCCCAGCGCCTCTTGGCTGAGATGTCCTCAGGTGCCCTCCCCAGAAGTCTCTAGATTCTAGAGATATCTAGAGATTCTAGATCCGAGACCTCGGAGAGTCCACTTGGTCAGGAGCGGTTATCCTTTCGGTGGCTTATGGCTCTACCAAGAAGCTTCTCAAGAGGATGTCCGAGGAGTCTGGCTTCCAGGCCAGGCTTCAACCTTCTACGTCGGCACTACTTCTTCTTCTTCCTAGAGCGAGAGTCTTACATCCCTCTGATTCCAGCTCAGGTTGTTGAAGCAACCATCGATTTTCCGTTGGCTGGAGACGCGGAGGAGATGGCACGACGTTGCTACCTGTTGCTACGTCTGTGTTCAAGATATTGTTGAATTTGTGTGTGGGGATGTCATCGATTTTTGTTCTGCTTTGTTACTGAAAAACTGCACCGTAATATTTCCAAGTTGGCGGTCGACAGCATACAAATTGATCACGTCTTCTATGTCCTACATTGGTCTCTGGGCTGGTGGGTTTGGGGACTGGGTTCCAGCAAAGATATTTCGGTTGTCCAAAACCATCAGAAGGGGTGCGTTGGATCTGCTGGAGGACTGGCTAAGTTCGGGGAGAAAGATGGACCGCCTCCAAGCCCAAACGGGTTTCAACTTCGCTACGGGTTTCAACTTCGCTTGGGGCTTGGGTCTTCATAACTTGACGGATGGGTGCCACTTATGCAGTGAAGATCGTAACTTACGAGCTTCCAACCAACTGCTGACCTCAACATGACCTCATCCCGCCTTGATATGCCAAGGGCTGCTTCGAAAATGTGTTTCTGGTACAAGTATCTTGTGAGGCCCGAATCAGGCATGAGGCACCAACGGTGCTCACACACTTCTTTACACCGGAGCCTTCAGAGCGATGTGGACACCAGGAGCGGATCCTCGCTTCTCTGGAGGGCTGCCTGCAGCCCAACACATCTCTCGTTGTTCTGGATGCGATTCCCTCCAATGCTCCCTTCGTGCTTTGGCTCAGGCATGCAAGCCTCAAGAGGGAAACTGCGGTTCCTGTCGTCAGACGCGCGGAAGCTAAGGTGCTGCCACTCCGGGAGGCCGTGGCGCTCTGCCGCGCTAAGGCTCCCGAGGTGGGAAGTCTGCGCAGTTACCGTCAGGACTCAGGCTCTCAGAGGCTCTGCAGAGATCCGCGTCCAATGGAGGCTTTCGTCATGGTCGATGCAGCGCATGGACTCTTCAGCTCCTGAGCTGCATTGGAATATCGGAGCCGGGTCCGGTTGGAGCCTTGCTGTGAGGCTCACCTCTGAAGCTCACGGGTCCCGCTGCGGTGCCCGTGGACGCCCTGGTGACCAACTGTTCGGTACTTAGTGCAATCATGGCTCGGTGACAGCACGACCATGCGACACGCATGACATCAGCGCGAGGTCACAAATGGTTCTGTGGACCGAAGGGCTCCGCGGTGCTTTATGTCGCTCCCGAACACCAACAGTGGGTGGACCCGTTGGTCATCTCACACGGGTATGGGCTTCCTGACAGATTGGATCCTAGGGTTTGAGGTCGTTCATCACTGTCCGTGCATCCCTTGCATCTGGAGTTTGGTCCAGGTCAGACTTCCCTAGTGGATTCTATTGGCCTGGTCTATCAGATTTCACATCGTGGCTGGCTCTGGATGAAGTGTTGGCCTTCTGGGACTTAGCAGCTCGGTTGCACCGGTCGTCCATGCTTCCATGTCCTTGCTGCTAGATTCGGAGCTGAGGTTGGGTTGGAGCCCGCAAGAATCTATGGAAATTACCTGGTCATGGATGCCGTGACTTGGCTTCGTTTGAGTGAGTGGTGGTCTTCCAGGAGTGAATCTGCAAGGCGACGATGCTGGCTGAATCTTGGGGCACTTCCTTGGGCATCCCGGACTGCTGACTGATGTAGGGTCGATGTAGTTTTCAAAAATTCAGCGGCTGAAACTGCCCATCTTTTCAGGAGGACCTGCTCGGACCGATGGCTCTTGTGGCATTGCCACCATTTAAAGCACTGCAAGATCGCGGGCAGCAGTGTCCGGGATGCGGACTAATGCAACGACATGCAGTTTTGCTTGGGCTTGATGTGGATGTGCACCGGGCGTACTGGCATCGCCGTAAGGTACACGTACGATGCTGCTGAAGCGGTGCAGAATGCCTTGTTCCAGCGGAGGATCGAAGTTCCAGTCAAGGTGCTATCTGGGAATTTATACGTTCGTTTCCTGGCGGCACTTAGCAAACACCCTGTGCAAGCAGCCCTCACTCGTCCTACAAGAGTCTTCGGGTGTCTGCAGGCATATCTGCTCACATCTACAACCACATCGAGGACGGCCGCCCTGCAAGTTGCGAGTTGCATCACACCCAAGCACACTTCGGGTTAACGTTGGAAAGTCATGTGGTGATGTCGTGAGGAGTACGAGATGCTGCGAGATGCCGTCCTGGAGCTTCAGCACTTGGACCAGCTGTAAGAATCTTCTCGCTTTGCATTGGGCACGACAGCGTGTCCAATGCACACAAGCACCCAGCGGACAACGCTTTGAAAGTTGCCGTGCTTCGGGTGCCATTGATTCTAGTATTGACACGAGCAAGAAAGGAGGAAGGGCGTGAGATGGAACGGGTGATGCCTCGCTCTGCTTCCTTGCCGCCGCTTAAATCCCGAAGCGGCCGGCCTTGCAAAAGTCACGGAAGTGAGGCTGAGAAGATTCGTCACACTCCTTCCGCCTGTCCTTGCCAGTGCCAATCGCCAATATTCTCAGGATGAGCAAAGGCCCTCGTCCGCGAGTCCCACGAAAATGACTGCAGAGACTTCCAGCCCTTTAGAGCTTGACACGGCCATGTTAGACATTAGCCTGTCAGCTGAGGCTTTCCCTCCTAGAAAGCAACCTGCAACCCAAGCCTTCCTGCGGCCGAGCCCTAAGCACCAACATGCACAAAACGCCCTGAGCCAATGAAGATTGAATGAGGCTGGGAGCTCGTCATCGCACCGATTGCACTAGGCCTTCGAGGGAGGAATGCTGTGGCTTCAACTGGCACGAGTGCGGTGGCAGGCATCAAGGAGACGGATGTCTCTCAAGCCTTGTCCGTGTGGAAAACTCAGCCTTCGTTTCTCCAAGTAAAGTATCAAGAGGGCGGCCGGATTCCGGGCTCATCGCAAAAGCCGATATGTCACAGCTCAGAGCTGAGTGTCGCAAGTGCTCAGGCATGGGAGGGTGCGACATGTAAAGATGACGGATCCTCCGGCCTGGGTCTCGATTTCCTGCACTGATTCAGAGTGGAGGCGTGGGCACCGTCTGTTTTCCTAGCAGCCATGATGCCTCATGATGCATGAGCCATTCCGAGAACCTTCATGCAGCTGACTGGTATCCAAACTGCAGCTGTTCTTTACCTTCCATCGATTTTGCAAAGCAGTCACTGTTCGAACCGGCCTCAATACTATGGTGCGGCTCGTGGGGCTCACTGGGCCAATCGCCTGCGGCAAGTCTACTGTGAGCGCGCTGCTTGCAGACGGAGGAAGGGGCTGTCTTGTTGTTCTTGCTTCAGATAGTTGTTGTGGGTGTCCAGAGTCCGATGTGCAACAACCATGCTGCTGTTATGTACATGCGTGACTTGGAATTTGGACAGGCTGGCCTGTCGTTGATGCCGACAAGATTGCACATGAACTCCTCGCGGACACTTCAGGTGCCGCGCATCAGCCGAATCTGCACCGGTGCGTGTGTGTGTGTGTGATTGCCTTTGTGTGCGTGCGTGCTTGTCTGACAGATAAGCTGCGATGTGAACATTGACCTCCTGCTCAAGCTTCATGAACTGGGTTGAGTTGCTTCGGTGGGTTCACTTCGGGGTTTCTTCGAACTTCTGGGGTCTGGGGTGTCCTTCATATTGCTACCCCTCATCTCTCTCCACCATTGGATTTGTCTTCCTCCTGGGATCCATTTTGGGCTTCCTGTTGGCCATTGGTGTGTTGTGGCGGCTTGACCTGCTGCTCATTGCCCCTCCGGTGAACCAACCTTCGGAGCCTCGTGCCACAGGCAATAGGAGACTGCAGGGGTACTTGCATGCATCCCAGGCCGCCGACAGGAGCCGTTGACGTGACTCTTTCTGCGCCGGTCGGAAGGCTGCTTGTGAGTGTGCAGGGCCCACCTTTAGAGGCAGCTGAGCTATTGATTTACCTCCAGGGCTTTGAACCATCAGCTCTAGCCACTGCTGCAACTGCCTCGCCTTCACGGCCTGTCTCCGCTTCAGTCCCTGTCACACAGGATCCCTTGCTAGGCAGTAGGCCCTCTTCCTCTAGTGGTTACCCTAGTGCCGGGAGTCGAGAGCATCGTGTTGCCTCCTCCACCCTAACCCCTAGCACCCCGTGCAGAGGTGAGGTCCAGCCTGCGACGCGGCCTCCTTTAGGGTTTAGTCCTTCTCCCCCTAGTGGTTCCCTAAGTGCACCTCACAGCCCTGTGCCAGCAGCCGCTGCACCAGCTTCGTCCGTCTCCTCGCCAGTCCCTGTCACACAGGATCCCTTGCTGGCCCGTGGGCCCCCTCTTCCTAGGTCAAGGGTCGAGGTCGAGAGCACTTTTCCGGTTTGCCCTGAGGAGTTGATTTGTCTGTCAGGATCCAATTTGTCGCCTAGGGCAAGGATCCAGCGTGCTTGGAAAGCTGGCTGCTGGGCTCGAGAAAAGCTCAGTGGGAGGTCGGTTGCTGTGGGGCCGTCCGCTGCTCTTAGTCTGCCTTCCCGTGTTTATCCTGTGGTCGGAGGTGGCAGCACCGAAGTTGTCCTTTATAGATCTTTCAGAGCATACAAGGCAGCCCTTGGGCCTCTCGAGGGGTCGCCGTCTGTGTCACACGGCTTCCCGAGCGAGGCCGAAGCTCGAACGTACTGTGTTGCTGCCGGGGTTGGTTGGCCGCTCCCGCTTGAGCGCTGATGACCGACCTGGTCCTCACCTACTCAGAGGCCGGTGCGACATATGTGTACGAGCACCCTTCCGGAGATGGCGCTGTGGAGTGCCTGGCCCTCGTCTTGCTAAAGCGCAGTCACGGCATTATGGCTGCTGTACCTGTTGGTGTTTTCACCCCAGAGGAGCTTCAGGCCGGGGAGGCTGCATCTATGGAGGCCACGATTGGTCCCTCTCGGCAGGTCGAGGTCTCAGGTGCAAGGATCGTGGATGGGGTTGCCTCTCCCGTCGGGGGCGCCTCTGTGTCAGCCGTCCTCGTGGACTTGGTGGCGGAGAGTTGTGTACGGTTTCTGCCGTTGGTGCCTGGAGAAGAGCCAGAGCTTCTAGTGCCTTTCGACAGTGCCCGGCCGGATTGCTGGCCCGACCCAAGTGCTTTGCTGCAGGTCGCCTTGAGCTGGGTGCAAGCGCCAGACCCAGAGCAGGAGCGAGTCACGTACTACTCAGCGGAGGAGGTTGTGGACCCTCCACCCGTGCCCAGGACTCGAGCCAGGCTCAAGTTGTCACGCGACGACCCGGGCGTTCCGCTCCCGGCTCCCGTTGGTGGTGGCTCCGACAAGCCCGCCGAGCCAGCTGCAAAACCGAAGCGGGTCAGCACAGCAAACCTGGCGACTCAGTTGGAGACCCTTGCATCTGCACTGCCCGGAATAACCGCAAAGCTCGAAGATATGGCCGAAAGGCAGCTTCAGATGGAGAGCAAATTGTCTGCAGGGGCAGCCGCCTTTGGCCGCGCCGTTGGGTGTCATACGATCAAAGGCGCCATCGGCAGCGCTCTTGGGCCCACCGCCGACTGCTGTTCGAGGGCCCCCCCTGGAGGCTGCACAAGTGAACGCCCGAGTGCCGAACGATGCCCAGGAGCTGGAGGAGGACACGCTGGCAACCGGCGCCGACACAACCTTGGCCCAGGCTGTTCTAGCCCAAAGCCAAGCACTGACTGCACTAGTTGGTCAACTCGCGGCCGCCAATCCCGATCCGCTCCTCGACCTCCCGTCCGGCTCAGTGTCTTCGCGGGGAGCAGCCCAGCGGGCAAAGCTCCAGGAGGAACTTGCGTCAGGCCGGGGAACGTTCTACCATGCGGTCCTAGGGAACATGGCTCGCCGAATGTCGCCCGCATCCATTCCAGCTACGGACCCGAGTGTGCTTCTCTCTCAAGGAGTGTGCCTCAGCAGGTACTTCGAAAGGTTCGGAGGGTTTGGGTCAGCTCGCGATATGGCGCTCATTGCCCACCAAGTCAGTGCGATAATGGATGCCTTTCAGGCCGGGCGAGAAGACCTGGCCAGGGATCACACTGCCCTCCTTGCCGTGTGCATAGAGCAATCGGTGTTAGATGGGAATCGGATGGAAGTTGCCTACCAGCTGACTTTTCTGGAGGACCCACCGGCAGCCATGTACTCGGGAAAGGGAGGCCAGGGAGCACTGCGTGCAAAAGCGTTTGCTCCATTGGCATCGCAGCGCTGGGCAACAGTGGTGCTCTCCTATCTGAAAGAGTTGGATACGTTGACGGTGAAGCGAACCGAAGCAGCCAGACCAAAGGCCCCCCCGGGAGGAGGAGCCGGTGTTGCTACGGAGGAGGAGGAGTCGCCTGCCCGGCCCAAGAGGCCTCCTCGAAAGAAGTAAGGGGCCCTCGTGCTGGAGCCTCTCCTCCTTGTGCAAACTCCACCGCTCGTGCTGCCCCGCCCCTTTGTACGGAGGGAAACGCATCTGGGAGTCAGTCTTCTGACCTGCTGTCTCCTCAATCCTGTTCTTCTGCCTCGCCATCAGGGACGGACTCTGGCGCCACCGCTGCTTTAAAGGCCAAGCCTTGTGGCCCGTCACCAGGTGATGTTGCAGACACGCTTTGCACTACGATCGGTTTCCTTGACTGGGCGTGGCTGGTGAAGTCTGGGACTCCCTTTGGGGCACTTTTGAATGCCTCTTTTTCCAATCCCCCTAGCCGTCGGGGCAACGCCCCTTCCTCCGCTACTTTCCCACTCCCAGCACCGCATCTTGACTTGTTTGCTGGCAGTGGCCCACGGCTGTCCAGGAAGAGCTGGCGTGCTTTGGCGCTCCGGCGCCTCCTTCATACGCTTGTGGTCGCCCTAAACTTTGTTTACGAGGGCTGCCGCTGGTTTCCCCTGGATCTGCTTTGGAGACAACCTTCAGCCGCACAGCGGCGCGTTCACAAGAGACTTTGGAAGTTCATAGTAGCGTGTGACTCACGGGCCGAGAGGTTCCCTCTTCCTCCCGGCCGAGCTGGTCCCGAATTTATTGCACGACTGATGGAGTTGGAATCTTTTGCTGCCGATGTGCTGCAGGGACCCGACTACGGCTATAGGAGGGGTGAAATGAGGGGCTCGGTTGCGGTTGCATCTAAGGGTTTTTCTCAGAAAACCCACACTTGCGACGCCGAGGTTGCATCTAGGGGTTTTTCTCAGAAAACCCATACTTGCGACGCCGAGGGTGCATCTAGGGGTTTTTCTCAGAAAACCCATACTTGCGCCAAACCACATGTGGGCGCGGTTCCCCGTACCCCCGTCTCTGCCTCACTCCCTCAGCTTATGCCCTACCGGAGCCTTGATACCTCTCGGATTGTGCTTCACGGCAAGGGGTCTTGGGACCTTGGTGATTGGCTTGATGGGCCCCTCTTTGTCCCCTTTGTGGAGCCGAGGATCCTTTTGCATGGGCTTCCTCTGACCGGTGAGGACAGGCCAACCTTTGAACATGAGGATCGTGCCGAAAACCTCAAGTTAGCAAAGCTTTGGGATGTGAATGGGCTGCTTCGGTTGAGGGTTGGGGAGATCAAGGAGCGAAGCCTGTGCAAGGCTTTTAACGCCTACAAAAACGAGAGTCGCGATCGCCAAATAGGAGATCGCAGATTGCCCAACCAGCACGAGATGCGAATAGCAGGCCCAAGCCGGTTCTTACCTTCGGGAGTTCTTTTCTCCAACCTTCAGCTCAGGCGATGGAAGGACACACTGAGCGCTTTTGTGTCTCATAGGAAAGACTTCTATCACCAGGCGAAGGTAAGCAAGGAACGCAGCGAGACCAATGGTCTCCCCTTCAGCTTTGGTGCCGAGGAGCTTGAAGGTACGGCTGCTTTAGCCTCCGTGCAGGAGGACGCCTGGCGTGCTCGGGGGCGGACCCCTCTTGCACCAGGCTCGTTCAACCTCGTCCCTTGTTTCGCTTCGATCTTTCAAGGCGATCTTTGGGAGTGGAATTCGCTTTGGAGGCGCATGGTCAGTTGTTGCAAAGCCGGGGAGCCTTGAGGTCGTGTTGCATGTTCAAGAATCGCAGCTTGCCGCCTCTCAAGAGCGACTACCAAGCCCTGGTCATTGACGACCTGGTCAATGTTTCAGTGGTGCCGGCCGTTGGCAACCCTCTTGAATGTGAGGCAGCACGTCTTCACGCTCGGGCGCAGGAAGCTTACAGTGCACATAATGTTGCCGGCTCGGCGGAGAAGGATGTGATCGCGGCCCCTTTGGTCACAGCCATTGGTGCCGAACTTGACGCTCGACCGGAGCTGATACGAGCCGGCATCGCCACGGCAGCTGCGCCTCTGGCTCGGCGGCTTCCCTTGGCGGCTCTTAGCCTCCGTGCTGCGCGCCTTCCTGTGACTTCGGCGCAGCTCGCTGCCCGCCTTGCGGGGGCATGGGTCTCTGTTGGTCTCTACCGCCGACCTGGCATGGTGTTTTTCTCAAGATTTTTCAGTTTGCAGATAAGGCTGAGTCTGCGCCCAATGGCCAGCAGGAAGCTGTGAAGCAACCGTGGGTGTTGGCCCAGGAACTTGTTCTTGGAGCCACGCTCTTTCCTCTTCTTGCGACCGACATCACTGCCTCTACCCATGACAAGGTCTATGCTACTGATGCGTCGTTGAGCCGCGGCGCTGTTTGCTCTGCGAGGCTTCCTGTTGAGACTGCAAGGGCCATTTGGCTCAGTGGTGACCGGAAGGGCGGTTACAGCAAGCTCGACTCTCCTGTCAGGGCTGCCCTTCGGGCTGTGGGCGGCGAGACCTGTGACGAAGCTGAGGTGCCTGAGCTCTCTGGTCCTAGCTCGAGCATCCCCTTCTGCCTTGATGTTATTGAGGTTGTGCCTGGGCCGGGGTGTGTGGCGGATGTCGCAAGCGATTTCAATTTGCGTGTGGGCCCCGCCATCAATCCTCAGACCTCTCCCCACTTCCGCCTTGATGACCCTGGGTTTGCCTCTTGGCTTCTCTCTGTGCTCGGGAATGGAATGGTAAGGAGCCTCTTTTTGATGCCCTCTGGGGGCATTGCTGCTCGCTCCCTCCTTTTCTTTCGCTTTGCTGCAAAGGCTGGCATTCCTGCTTTGCTTCTGCTCCCGCTCAGCTCACCGTGGTTGGGCTCGGCTCAGTGGAGAGCGGCGTGTAAGCTTAACGGAGTTGAATCTTGGACGCTCTCGAGATGTCGTTTTGGTGCCCCAGAGCGTGGTGACCTGGCTGCGCTTAGCTGCCACCTTGTCAATGGAGGCCTGCGCCTTGCCTGTTTTGGTGGGCATGAGCATAGCCCCTCTCTTCGGAGTGACCGCCCGGCTCTCCCTACTGGTCTGGTTGTTGCTGTGGCAAGGGCTTTTAGCTTGTCGCTCCTCCGGGACCCTTCTTTGAAAAGGGAAAAGCCTGGCCTTGAGAGTGTGGTTTGCAACGACTTGTTGAGCAGCGCTACTTGGCAGGTCGATGTTGTCATTCCGTGGTCTGGCCACAGTCATATCAATCTCCTTGAGAGTGCTGCCATTACTGTGCTTCACCGGCGTGTCGCTCTTGCTGAGCCCGACTCTCGCTACTCTGTGCTCGTCGACTCGCAGGTTGCAAAGTCTGCTGCTGCAAAGGGGCGGTCAAGCTCTTTCGCCCTCCGTGCCGGCCTCTGTCGATCTTCGGCGATACAGCTTGCGTTTGGTCTTTACCCAACCTACGGCTACGCCCCCACGCGCTTCAATGTTGCAGATGACCCTACAAGGTTTCAAGACTTGCGTCTGCCTTGGCAGCATCGCCTTCACGAGCTTTTGCCGCTCCCTGCTTTCTACAGCCTTGGTGAGCTCCGTCTGAGACGCCCCCTGGCCTCTTGGGCTCGTCTTTTCCTTGTGGCCGCCTACGCACTGGACTTTGCCTCGTCTTCCCTGAGCGATATGCTGGCGGGACGGTTTGCCACTACCCCGCAGCTGTCGCTCCGACACGATGTGCTGGCTTTTGACTCCACTCGTGGCTTCCCTGGCGAAGGTCCTGTTGCGTCCACTCTTTGGCGTGGCCCTTTCTTTGGCTTTCTCCTTCTCACCCTCTGTCTTTGCTTGGGTGACTTTTCTTTTCCTTGGGCCTGCAAGTGCCTCTTTGACCGCTCCCTGCGTCGGGAGTTTTTGGTCAGTCCCTTTCACAGACTTACTTGGACTACTGCCCCGTGTCGTGTGCCCAGCTCCTTCCTCCTGTGTTGGCTCCTTCTTTGGCACTGCCGTTCTGTTGCCGCTCACGGCAGTGCTCCGTGCCTTCTGCGCGTCTTGCGTGTGTGGTGGTTGCCTGTACCACCCGGCCTCGCTTGGATTTGGCCTGATCCTAAAGCCGTCTGCCTCCTCTCCCTCCTGGACTTTAACTCCACTCTTGGATTTCCTGGTGAGGGGTGGCTTTTCTTCTGGGTGTTCAGGGTGTTCTGGTTTGCAGGTTTCGGTAGTTTCCCTCTCGGAGCCATGGCTGCCCCTGCACCGCGTACCCCTGCTGACCTGGAGAGAGCTGTACGTAGACAGGAGTCGACCCTTGTCGCTGACCGGATAGTGAGGCCAGTTACCCGGGGAAACCGTGAACGCCTCCTCTCTGAGTTTGATGGCTGGTTGTTATCCTCTGGCAGAGGTAGCCTGCAAGACTTGGTTGCGCTGCCCTTCGATCGAGCTGAAACCATAGCTGCGACCCTGGTTGCCTACGGCCAAAGCTTGTTTCGCGCGGGCCTCCCCTACTACAAGTACTCTGAGACCATCAATGGTGTGGCGAGCCTTCGGCCAGGCATCAGACGGTCGCTCACCTACGCGTGGGATTTGGCGTTTGCGTGGCTTAGTGAGGAGCCACCAGTACACCATGCGGCGATGCCAAAGGGAGTGCTTCTGGCCCTCCTGTCTGCGTCACTGATGTGGGGTTGGCTTGCAGAAGCTGCCGTTTTTGGGCTAGCTTGGTGCGGACTACTACGTATAGGCGAGGTTTTGCAAGCTCGGAGACGCGACCTCATATTGCCCTCCGATGCCGCTCCTGGGACACAGTTTGCGCTTCTACAGGTACGCTCTCCGAAAACGAGAGGCAGAGCTGCGCGTCACCAAGCTGTTCGTGTGGACCCTTGTGACATCATCCAGCTGTTAAATCTAGCTTTTGGCCGCCTCCCAGCTGAAGCTCGACTTTGGTCCATGTCGTCGGGTACCCTTCGACGCCGCCTACATCTCTTGCTGAATCGTTTAGGCCTGGTCGTCAACGGCAAGGCGGCTTTCGATTTGGCTAGCTTCCGGCCTGGCGGCGCTACCTGGATGTTACAACTTACAGAGAACAGCGAGCTTGTCAGGAGAAGGGGCCGGTGGCTTTCACTGCGGGTCATGGAGGTGTACCTTCAGGAAGTTGTGGCTACTACGTTTCTTCCGAAGCAAGCTCCGGGCACCCGTGAACTAGTCAACGCGCTGGCAGAGGATTTCGGCATGGTGCTGCGGAGGGTCACCTTCCTGTACAACAGCGGCATCCTTACGCGGGCGTGGTACCATTTGCTGGCAGCTGAAAAAGACGCGCTCTCGCATGGGACAAGTGGTGCTTAGAAGTTCGTGGTGTCTTAAATTGCCCTGGCATGGGAAAGTTGCTGCTGGCACCAGCTGCTTGTGACACCTTGAGCCTCTGTGCTCGTTGTGTCACAGCAGCTGCTGGTGACTGAAGGAGTTTTCTTACTTAGCCTGCCGGCTTGAACGAATGACATCCACAACGCGGGGGGAAAAAGTGATCCGAGCTGCTTGTTTAGGGTTTAACACTCCCGCTAGTTGGGCTTGGTGTCGCAAAGGCCGTCAGGTGCCTTTGCATCGACAAGTGGGCATGCATGTGTCTGATGATGTTTCTTACAAGCATGTCTGTGTAATCACATATTTTCTTTATGTAGAGATAGATTTATCTAGGTGACAGCTTACCTATCTGAAGATACACCTGCATAATGTGTTAGCCTGTGTATTTATTTATGATGTGTATACATATATATATATATACACACACACACTTGTTTTCGTAATTTCAAAGAGACAGAGAGAGAGAGGGAGAGAGACTTCAGAGTGCTCGTGTTTTGCCTTGTATCGAGAGGGTACTGTAGTAACTTCAGCTAGCTGTGCACAGTCAGCATCGCAGTTGACGGCCAGGGGGATCCCGGGGTGAAATATAGGTCTAACTCCAGCTGTTATGTTGCCTTGCTTGAACAGGGGGGATCGCACTGTGTTGCCTTTTTGTATAGCCGAGCCGTAGAGGGGATAACCCTCCCACGGGCAATCAAAACCCCGCAAGGACCCGCGGGTGCGTGCACGCGTGCGGGGGGGCTGACTGCAGTCACCCCTCCATGCCATGCCCGGTAGAGAGAGAGAGAGAGAGAGAGAGAGAGAGCGAGCGAGAGAGAGAGCAGCCTTTTTGGCTCAAATCGCGCTGCCGGCTTTGGGATAGCTGGCTGTTCCCAGCTTTGGACGAGCCCCGGGTGGGGGGAGGCTTGAGTCCAACCGCCGTCGCTGTTCCGCTCCAGTGGCCCAACGGGGGGGAGGCCTTGCGTGAGCCATCGTCCTGACAGTAAAGTTCGTGACACCTTCGCCCTTGAACGTGACCTGATTACTGCAAGATCTACTCCTTGAACGCACCTGCAGAGGGGGGGATAGTCTTCAATGTCCTGCAGGCGCTTTCCTCAAGACGGTGCACCTGACCTACCGGTTCGCTGGGAGGGGGAGACCATCACCTCAAGGTTCGAGGTTCGTAACTTGGGGAACGGCCGCGACATAGTGAAGATCACCATGGTGGGGACATGTAGGCTTTGCAGGTACGCGACAGGAACCTGCACAGTGGGGATGAGGAAAATACATGATCGCACAGACCCAGCATGCAGACCACATGGGGTGACTTCAGCAGCCACAACTCCGCCGAGAGCCCGAACCAGAACTCCACCACGAGAGGGGGAGCAGCAAGATCGGACACCCAGCCCGCCTAGACGGGGGAGCACTCCCGCTGGAACAACCACGACGAGCCGGGGGAGCAGTTTGACCCGGCCGCTTGCAGAGCTGACTGGGTTTAGGACACGACAAGGGGTGGTCTTATTCTATGAACCCAGCCCGCTTGATACGTGGATTGGCAAGAAAATCCAGAAGACGGAAGGGGGGACCTGCACCGACATGGAGTCGGGGGGGACCCTCACCAAGCAGGAGGCGTGCCAACATAAAGCCTATGGCCGACGCCACAAGGCCCGCAACGAAGATGCACGCCTGCCAGACAAGGTGTTAAGGTGTTGCACCGTTACAGGCGGGTGAGACTCGCGCATGCATTGCGCGTTTCCCTGCACAAGCCAAAACTTTGCTGCCCAAAGTGAGGAAGATTCGGAACAAACTTCGACGTGAAGGGGCCAGTCACTACAGCACGACAAGCACCTCCACCCGTGGGGGACAGGTCGAGACCAACTGCGAGTGAAGATCGTGACCTTCTACAAGCACCAGCAGAGAAGGAAAACACCAACGAGGCAAGGCATGCGAGAACAGCGAGCAGGGGGACCAGTCTGCCCCGTGAGACAAAGGCACCCTCCACGGCTGACGACACCCCTCCACTCCAGACTGGGGGGGGAAAGCCAGACTGAAGAGGAGATACCACAGAGCAGTTGGCCATGGGGGGAGCAAGGACGTCCCTCCGATCATGGACGAAGTGAAGGAATACTGCGACAACGTCCCAACGAGCCCGCGGGGGAACCGCAACGGCAGCGAAGCAGCTCTCAGAGTGAAGGCGGGGGAATTCGGCTCATTCCCAGCCGCATGTGGCAAGAGATCAGAGCAGTACAGGAACACATGGAGCGTGCCCGACACCAACGGGGGAAACAGTGACAATGGAAGATTTGCCTCCTACATGCGGCGGGGACGAAGCTCTTTGCCAAACAAGCCGACCAGTGCTGCAACAAGTTTTCCGTGTGCGCTTTGACTTCTGAGGGGGCGTAGGGGAGTTTTCCACACGATCGGACAATCCGTGAGTGCATGTGAGTCGTTTGGTGTGAACTCTTTCAACAAGCATGCAAACATGCTTTCTCGGGTAAACTTCACTCCTCGGCCCGACCTGGCCAACAAATCCTTGTTTCTTTTTAACACACCTGTACATTCCGTTCCTTCCTTGGGGGGCATTCGAGAGGTAAACCAAGGCCCCAATTCGAACTGTTTCAACCAAGGTAGCCTGCAGTACTCGCCATGTTCGGCGGGGGGATGCATGTTTTTGCCTAGGTACCTCTGATCACTTCCCCAAGCTGAAGCATGTTGGTTGTTCGTGTTCTTAGATGCGATGTGCGAATCACGGTCTTTTGTCGCCTCATGTTTCCGTTCGGGGGAGACGATGTTTACTATGAGGGCATACGAACACTTCAGATTCTCTGGGTCTGAGCCTTAGAGTGTTGCTTACGCGCAAGTCTGACATGTGTTCGGCATGGGGGAACCCGCAAACTTATTCTTGCATTTTTGTGTGACCTATTCGGGGGACCCTTGAAGCCCAACCCTTTGTTCATGTACAGCTGAGCCTCTATGGGCGAAACCCATAGGGGGAACGAACAAATCCCATGGACCGCGGGTGCGCGCTCGCGCGCGGAGGGGGCAGCTGGACCGCTGCTTCCTCCCTGCCCCGAAGAGAGAGGAGACGTCTTCGCACGTACCTGTGGTGCTCATCAAATACTGCAAGATCGTCGCTGCGCACTGGTTCTGTTGTCATATTGAGTGAAATGCACCCTTGACAATTTTGATGACCACCAGTTTCAGCAGTATGGTGCGGGGGTCGAAGACAATCAGCTTGTCTTGCAAGCGGGTGCTCGCTTTAGAAGCGAGTTCAGTTGGTGGCGCCGAAAGAACACGTACCATACATTACCATAAGTTTCGCCATCTACGTGTGTACAAAAAGCGTGTGCACATGATATGCCCCAAACCACCGACCGGACTCCACCCAGGCACAATTCACAAGCGAGTCGTCTCTGAGTTTGGGACGACGGTGTTGGATTCCGACGGTGTCATTGACCGAGAAAAGCTGGGCAAGGTGATTTTTTCAGACCCCGCCAAGCGGAGGAAACTCGACAAGGTGCCATCTTTGTGTGCGT